CTTCAGGATGCCGCCGTTGCCCACCACCGCGCACTTCTTCAGGGGCAGCCGGAAGGGCGTGGCCTGCGGACAGGGCGAGGGTCACGGCCACGCCCACACCCACGGCCTGGGCCACGCCCCCTACCCACAGCCACGCCCACCGCCAGGGCCACGCCCTCTACCCACAGCCCCACCCACGGCCCGGGCCACGCCCGCCACCCACAGCCACGCCCACTGCCCAGGCCACGCCCGCCACCCACAGCCACGCCCACAGTCCAGGCCACGCCCTCTACCCACAGCCCCACCCATTGCCTGGGCCACGCCCTCTACCCACAGCCACGCCCACTGCCCAGGCCACGCCCACCACCCACAGCCACGCCCACAGCCCAGGCCACACCTGCTACCCACAGCCACACCCACTGTCCAGGCCACACCCGCGGCCCCGGCCACGCCCACTACCCACGGCCACAGCCACATCCCAGGCCACGCCCACCGCCCAGGCCACGCCTGCTACCCACAGCCACGCCCACTACCGGGCCACGCCCGCCACCCACAGCCACGCCCACCTCCCAGGCCACACCCTCTACCCACGGCCACACCTACGGCCCTGGCCACTCCCGCTACCCACAGCCCCACCCACTGCCCGGGCCACGCCCTCTACCCACAGCCACGCCCACTGCCCAGGCCACACCTGCTACCCACAGCCACGCCCACTGCCCAGGCCACGCCCATGGCCAAGGCCACGCCCGCTGCCTAGGCCAGGCCATCCAAGGCCACACGTCACTTCCTGTCCCCTCCCCCGGGGACTCCACGCTCTCCCCAGGGAACAGCCTGAGTCCATCAGGACCCAGGGCGAGCATCGCGGGGCCGGCGGGAATGCCCCCGCGCGCCTTCACCCTCAAGGCCCTCGGGACAGGCCGTTCCTTGGCTTTGGGGGGTTGTTTTCCTGGGGTGGTTGGTGTTTCCCGCCTGTCACCCCAGCTGCTCCGGAGGATCGGGGTTCGAGGCCAGCCCGGGCAGGAAAGGCCGGGAGACTCCGACCTCCCGGGATCCAGCCACGAGCTGGGGGGGGGCGGGGAAGGGGCGACAGTGTGCAAACAGAAAAGCACGTAACTGTCACCGTCTGCACCCACCTGCGTCACAGCCGGTCCAAACCTAAACGTTAAAGTTAACAAAAGTAAGCTGGGAGTGGAGCTGCGGCCCAGCCTTCAGCACACACACA